GCGGGATGGCAGCCAAACGCATAGCACAGTTGCTCACTAGTGGGAATACAAGGACACATTAGCAGAAGGCACAGGAGTAACCTGCGATGGAGGAAAAGTGCTCGGAGGTCTCTTGTACATAGGTAGCTTTCAGTTTCAGATGGTCAGACACTAATAGACAGCAAACAACACATTGCTTAATATATTTGTCCCAGAAAAGCAAAAACCACTTCTTGACCCTATGGCTCTCCTGGAACCTCATGCCCAAAAGGGACAGTGAGGCCACTGTGCCACTCCCCTCCATTGCAGGTAAAACCTGTCCTGTATGTTCAGCTCTCCAGAGACTACTGGAAAGGTTTCCTGATCCTCTATTACTTTCTGATTTAAAGTCATCATCTCCCCCCCTCTAATTTGCAACAAGTTTCCTTCTGACAAAAGCATAGCCAGGCTAAGCAGAAATCCACTCAGATCTCACAGCAGGAAGCCAATGTACAATTATAAAAAACAGAATTACTGGAAAACTGTGTCTCTCACTGAAAACAAGAGGCTTACAACAGTGTGCAAAAATCTTAAACTCACGGGCTAGTACAAGAGTGACACTTCCTATGCCTGTCAAGAATCTTCCCCATCACCTCCCTTTCTGGTGTAGCAAGTCCCAAGTCCTAAACCCATGTATTTTAAGCCCCCTTGGCTTTCAAACTGGTGGTGGCTGTTATTATTCCAAGCTCAGCATTCCTTAGGATTGGAGTTAAAAGTCTGAAAAATACAGGCAGCTCTCCCTGTTTCATTGAGAGCCTATCAGCCTTGATTCACCCAAATCAGTTAGAGAACTCTTTCAGAGGAAAGAGATTTAACAGCCTGACTATACAAACGCGTTCTGCTACTGGTCTGGCCTAGATGACCAGGATAAACCAAAAGGTAACTTCAATACAACTTAAATGCAAAAATTAGAAAGAGCCCTCAAAACAACATGGTGTTCAAAAAATGTAAGGTAACTGCTCACTCAGACCTACCTCCAGGTTGTAGCAGCTCTATCTTTTGAAGAGCTGGAGAGAGCTTCATACAGAGCCTGCCAGTCAATGAGCATGGCAGGACAGATACAGAACACAACAAATCTTTGAATTAGCTATTGCAGAGCAACCCAATGAGGAAATAACTTGTTGCTGCTGACGTTTTCACAAGGTACTTTATATTTAGGTATCAGCAAGCATTAGCAGAGAAGGGGGAGGCAGGTGTGGACAGAGACACTGAAATCTTTTTTCTTCATTGCATTTTATAGAAAAATCTTTGTCATGGCCTGTAACTTATCCATGTGACTGACAGCAATTCAATATTAGTTTTGGAAGTTTATACAGAAAATATTTCCCTGACCCCAGAAGTCAATGTTTGCCCAGTGAAGCACAAGGATTTGTAGTTCTGTGGTTTCTTCATACCAAGTTCATTATCAACTTGAAAAACACCTGAAATATCCTTGAGGCAAGCAGAGAACTAATGGCATGGCAGTATTAGAAAATATAGTGGATTTTAGTACTTCATATTCACGTTGATGGTGAAAACGCACAATACCAGGAAGAAGGTATTTTCCAGGCTGCTTTTTAACCAGCAGCCCAAGAGGTTTGCAAGGAAATACGAGTGTTTCCATGCAGAACGTGGTAGTTAGGCAACCCAAAGTAAAAGTCAAAGCAAAAATATTTTTATACAACTTTCAAGAAAATAAGTTAAATCCTAACTGCATCAAGTCCAGTCTTCAGGACAGTAGGAGATTGCTTCCCAAGCTCTCAGAGCCAGCGTGCCTTCCTCCTTATCAGCGGGTGAACAGCAGCACCAGCTCACAATGAACAGTATGAGGAAACATGTCAAAAGGTATAGCCAGCATGGGGGCAAATGGCTCTCCTGCCAGCTTCTTCCCTGGGTCAGGAGGGCAGCACAGCCTGTGGAAAGCAAAGATGGCATCCTTTAGACCAGTCACAGCAGCCTTCCCACCGTCACTGGTAGCACAATAGCACAGAGGATGCACTAGGGAGGTACCATGTAGTTTGGCTAACATCTCTCAGCTGATGCTGGCTGGGGTCTGGAACCATCAATACTGAATCCCAAGCCATCTCTGAAAACCTCATGGTCAAGCTGAAGAGTCAGTAGCAGGTTTAAAGCTCCCTTTCTCACAAGCCATCCCAGCTGACAGACACTTAAGACCCTTCAGAAATAATAGTCAGCTTTGCACTACCTTCATTAGTTACCTGCAGACAGATTTATCACCTGCAAATGGGCCTGCCCCAGATAAAGACTTAGCTATATGATTAACCCTAAGCAGGTAACTAATCCCTGTGTCTTCACTTCATTGGCTAGGGACCAGCCTTCCTGCAGTGAACCCAGTGGACTCTCTATCCCACATCCAGATGTGCTGTTTTGTTGTGGAAGGATGCACAATGCCATTATGGCATGTTTGCATTATCATGCATTATATTATTCCTTACTGATGCACTAAAGTATGCTGCTGGAACATAAAACCCAAAGAATACCCGCTACCTTAGAACAGCAAGTGCAGCTTGCAGGTAAACACAAAGTAACACAAAAGCATAAACCACTTCTGACCATGCACTGACTTGTCCTGGATCACACCTGCAGAACTCACCCAGTGAAATGCAGTTACAACAAAAACCTTCCTAAGCCAAGGCCAGATATTTATGTCCTTGTTTGGACATAATAGGGTCTGTCACTAAGGTCAGTGGAAAGAAAGGGAGGAGGGTGCTCACTCAACAAAGTTCCTCATAGCTTCACCCTCTGGCTTGCAGGAGATGTAGAGCAGCCTTCGGATGGACTTGCAGTTTCGGATGGCTCGCACAACCCTGTGATCTGCAAAAACAGATATCATGCTTTCCCAGTGATCCACTGCCACTGTGAGCTCTCCAGAAGGAATGATTGCACAGCAAGCATCACAGAACTGCACTGAACTGTCAAAAATACAGGAGGAAAAAAGAATATACACATTTTGCCATGTCCTGTCTCAGATGCAGGCTCTTAGGAGACCAGGGACGCGACCCACACTACTAACAGCTTAGCCAATTTGGAAGGGTAGAGCAGCAGGAGAAATCCCTCTGTTTCCCAGGGGGATGAAGGATGAGAGAAAAATTGTTACTTAATTAAGCAGGGGCACATAAAACCTTCCATGCACACTTGTGAGACTGCATCTAGGCACGAGGACCAGTTTGGGACTTCCCAGTACACACTGAAGCAAGTCCAGACAAGACCACTAAGACTGTTAGAGGGCTGGGGCACAGCGTGCACAAGGAGAGTGTGAGGGCTAGGACTGTTCAGCTTGGGGAAGAGAAGGTGAGGAGGGATCAGTTTGCTTTCTTCAGGGGCCTCATGGGGGATTACAGAGAAGATGGAGCCAGAATCTTCTCAGAGAGGCACGAGAAGAGGATGAGACGTAACAGATGCACTGCAGCAAGGGGAAATTCTCATTAAATACATTAGGGAAAACATTTTTCAGGAGAGGGTATCCACCCTTGGACATATTCAAACCTCAGCTGGGCTTTATAGCCCTACGCAACATTACACAACTCTGAAGTTGGCCTTGCTTTAATTGGGAAATTGCACCACAGACCTCCAGAGGCTCTGTCTCTCCTAAATAGTTCTGTGAGCCTACGAAAGATGGAAAAAAGATGGGAGCTGCCTGCTGTAAAGAGAAAGCATGATAAAGGCACTGAAAGGAGCAGACTATGGGATTTTAGCTCCTTCAGCCACAAGGTAATAAACTAGAGACTAAGCAAGCAGAGGGGTTTGGAGCAGGTATAACAGGTCTCACAGAACTTGTTCAAAATCCTGCTTTCAAGATAAAAATAAATAGCATATTCTCTCACGAAGCCCAGCCCGAGATGGGTTTGCCACAGCAACAAGGGGTCGGGCATCCTCCCACGATGACAGGAGCTGTGGTAAGACGACCTCCGCCTTTCCACTGTGAAACTCACAGTTTGAAATTCCTGTGAAGCAAAAAGCAAGCACATGAACTAAGCAGAGTCAGTCTCACCATATGTTAGATGTAACATGAAGTACCACCCTTTGCTGCGTGGAGGTGACTTGTTAGGATCCCTCCACTCACTTCTGCTTCTTATTTTTCAGCAGTTAGTTTGAAACTTTCTGCCACAGTGAGCTTGAACTCACCATTAAATGCTGCATTCCACTTGGCATCTTCTATTGCCTTCTCCACCATCTCAATACCAACAATCTTGGACACTTTGTGAGCCAGAGAGAGACCAATTGTGCCTAGAAATGCGGGGATACAAAATACCCCATAGACCCATGCTGAAGAAACAAGCCTTTAGATTGTGGGGATCATTTTTGGTATACAAAGCACCAGCCCCAGGAGCCAGGCTCACATGGCCACTGCTCACCTGTTCCACAGCAGATGTCAAGGAGCATGGTGTCCTCACCAGCCTGACTTAGCTCCCCAACCGCCCGGTACAGAACTTCTGCTCCACTTGTGTTTACTTGGAAAAAAGCATCTGGAGAAATGCGAAACTTCAGGCCAAGCACTTCTTCAAAGATGTGTGGCTCTCCATGAAGGAGCTGGAAGGGGGACTGCTCATGGGAGCAGCGTGTCATGGTGCTAGCACACAAAAAACAGCTCTTAGAAGGCAGCAGAGAGACAGCTGATTTCCATTTCCATTCCCAGGGTGCTCATGTGCAGAGGATAGTTCTCCCCCCACCAATTTTTATTTAATGTGAGCTTTTCAACAGGATCAAAGAATTGCGATTCTTTATAAGAGATCTGTAACATGCACAGCCTAGAATTCATTAAAAGGGTCAAAATGACTTTGCAGAAGGCAGAAGTCCTAGGGTCTATTCTGCAGTTTTGCTACTAATGTGATTTACTGTCTTGGGAAAGCCACTGTAGTTATTTTTTTCTTTAGTTTTCCAGGCTCATTACTCCCATGAGGTAGAGCCATAGTGTATTCAAATATTTCAGGTCTAGAAAAACAAAAGATGTAGCCATCTTAAAATCACGCCTGCAGGAGGCATCCAAACATCTGTCGTTCTCTTCACACACTCCCTGAACTGGTAGAATTTGAATTTGATCAGAGCGGGGGGGGTCAAGACATATACCTTTCTTGGAAATAAAGTGAAGTCAAGGCACAGACTGTTCCAGGTCCACATGTGAAGAACTCCTTAAGCAATGCTTTCTGAGTAGCCAGTGCCTCCTGTCAAGAGCAAGAAGGAAAACCTGGCTGATTGGGCAATCTGATTAGACATGTCTTCCCAGTGGCACACCCAACAAACTCAGGTTAGCCAGATATCTGATGTGCCTCCTCCTGCCAGGGACCCTGTGCTCCACATACTCACCTGCCCCAGCTCCTGGGGGTGGAAGGTGATGATAGCCATGGTGTGGCTATGGCTGGTGGTGCGTACCACAAGCTCCCGCCAGTGTCCACCTTCGTGGAAGAGGATGCAGGGGTCCAGGGGGGAGCGACGGATGAACTCCTCATAGCACTGAGTGGAGGGGAAATGGCACTTCGAGGACAGCAGAGACAACTGCCCTCATCTTAGCATAACTCTGTGCACCCCAAGCGGGTGCCCCTTCTACCAGTATCATCTGTTTTTTCTGTTTGGTTTCAATACGCTGAGTGAAAGCTGTTTCCAAGTTCTTGGAAGAGAAGACATTTTAATAATTTCAATTTGTGATTCTTATGTATTTTAATAGATTGGCAGGAATTCATTGTCTCTTGATTGACGTCATTCTTTGGGACAGTTTAGAGGCTGCAACATTAACATGCAAGTTTCAAAAAAATATTCAGCCATCAAACAGAGTCACACCTGAAACTTTTCAGACCATGAACATGGACTTTAAAACCCAGTACAATGTTTTCCCAAGTAAGAGTTATAGCAGTCCCTCTATTCCACAGTCTAGGGACAGACATGACATACATTTACCTGGGCTACTTGTTTGTGTTTTGGGGGTATGTTCTCCATATGGTTGGCTTTCACACAGACAATATTTCTTGCTGGAAAGAGACAGACAGGTATTGAATTGTTTTGGTTTAGGGCATGTAAACAACTGTAGCACCTGACACAATAAACTATGGAGAGGCCTTTCCCCTTAATTTTCCCATTGTACAAAAAAAAGAAAAAAAAAAAAAGAAAAAAAAAAGAAAAAAAAAAAAAGAAAAAACCTTTAAGTACCCCACTAAATCCTGTGATGTTCTGGGTACCTGCAGTCTGCAAGACCTGCCAGAATTCCCTTTGCCAGTGATTACTGTCACTAACTTCCATGAAGAGGGTTGGAGCTCCAGGAGCTTTTTAGGTGTCCTCTAGTAACTCCCAAAGGAGTCACTACACGGTTCTTAAACTAAGGGAGCCAGAGCAGAGCAAGCTGGTTTTCTAACTGGAGAATAATGGTGTGGGCTTACAGCAGCAAAGCAGTTTAGGTTGCCTAGAAGACAGCACTCTAAACTTTTACTGTCAGAGGTAAAATGCATCCATGGAATTATTTTTTCAATGAAAAAAGTACATAGTGACCATCCCAGTACCTCTTGCTATGGATGTTGAGAAGCAAAACCTAGTATTGATGGTGTGAACAAGTTCCTCACTGAGCAGCTTGCAAGAAGCAACAGCTCACATCTTCATGGCACAAAATCAAACTGCCTCATGCAACCCAAACACTCCAACATTGCTCTGCTGCCTATGGCTGTGCACATCCCCCCAGACTCAGCACAGGCTCCTGGAGCATGCCAAAAACATGGGAACAGTATAATTACAAATAACAAAGCTAAATCTTGGAGGGGCTGCTACCACAGCTGTGGTCTTTACCACTGCAGCAAATTAGAAGCTGGTGTTTCTTAAGAAGCTAATGAACTGAGGTTTTAAAATTGCTGCCTCAGACGTGGTGGTGTTTCTGTTGGTGTCCCCTAGGATTCAGGCTTCTAACTCAGGTGGAAGCTGTCACAGCAGAGCCTTGACCCAACCCAGCCCACATCACAGCAGTTTTCTACCTAGCTCCTTGTTCTGTGCTGACCTCTGCCAGTTCCCACATACAACCCCACGGTTTTGGGGTTCCCATCTGGTCCTCGGTTCACAGAGAAAGTCGATTTGTTTCGGTAGCCATTAATGACAGGCTGAGGGAAAAAACAAAGAAAAGTAAAGTCTTGGATTAAAAGAAAAAGTAATGGAGGAAAGCCAAAACCCAGCCTGGTTGTTCTGCTGGCAACATGGGAAGGTAACACAAAAATGCAGAAACAGCTTGTGCATGAGACTCCCTAGTACTTCCACTTGGGAAGATGAAATGGCTCTCTGACAGAATGGTGATGGGTTTATCAGAGAACGCTTGGGCACAAAAAAGGATTCTAATGACTAGGCTTGTTTTACTCCCCTACAGTCACAGGCTGCAAAGCAGAAGCTAGCAAGAACTGACACAGACACATTCTGTGCAACTAAGTAATCCCCACCATGAGATTCTTCAGGAGCCAAGTGAGAGACTGTTGGTGGTTCAGAAGGGAAAGCGTTCCCATGGGATACTCACCGAAGGGACTACAGGCTGGAGAGGACAGCAGAGTCCACCAGGTTTCTGCACATCTATGCCCAGCTCCTCAAGAAGGGTTGCCAGTGTCTGCAAAATCTTCCTCTGGCTTTCATACTTCACCTGCAGAGGAGTCGTAAGCCAGAAACACTGTCACTGGACCACACGACAGTGGGCAGCTCTTCATCACCCACCTCTGGGAAGGGCAACAGGAGGGAATACTGCAAATGGGATATAGCACCAGAGGAACTCTGCCTTCCTCATCACCGCAGTCACTTGGAGCAACGGGGAGAGAGTCTGTGGTCCCCAAGCGCTGGCCTCAAGCACTTAGTCCAACTTGAAGCCCCAGTGAACCAGCTGTCCCGCACCGGACAGGATCACTGTGCGAGTGCCCATCCTCTGTGCTGTTAGTGATCACACACACCACCCACAGGGGACATCCTAGTTCTATCCTTCACAATAACTGAAAAATTAAAGCAGCAGTAAATGGAGTCTAAAGAGTTTACAGCACTAAGTGACAAAGATGCTGGGGCTGTTGCTCAAGGGGGATAGAAGGGACAGTTGGGACAACACAAAGGAGAAAAGTCCACGTAAGCACATCTTACCTGCAGCTGCTCTTGATAGGGAAGTCTCCACAGTGGAGTCACCGCGCTCGCTAACCTGGAAAGCACAGCATCACAGTAGCACCCAGAACTACTCAACTCCTCATACTTATGGCGTAACATCCCCGCCAGCTGCTTCACGGGCAGGACCATTCTGGTACAGGCTCTGCACCAGAGCAGGCTGTGAACATCCAAACTCCCTGTTCGTGACACCTGCCTGGTGCAGAATACTTTGGCTGGAAGAGGGACCCAGGAACCACAATGACCAGCTCTGCAGAGGACAGGCTGAGCCTTTGGCAGAAGACCTACCAGTGGCGCCCGGGTAACCCAGGTATCTTTCTGATCCCCCTTTAGAAGACAAGGCCAGGAATAGCGTTTCCCCCACACAGGGACTCAGAGAGGCCCTGCCGAGCCCTAGGTGAGATCTGACTCTGGGCTGGTAAAACCAGGGGAATGAATATTCAAATCTTATTGGAGTCAGAGGGGAAAAAAAAAATGAAGTGCAGGCAAAGAAGGGAAAAACCAAAAAGGATCATGTTGTAGCTTCAGATGGGTTCTGTTGCTTTCTCCCACCAAGTCAGAGGCTTTGGCGATTTCTTGCTTCTCCGAGGACAGCCCGAGTCCCATCTCCCTGGAGCTTTCCCATGAAAGAGGAAAATGCTTCTCTTCTCACTTGATGCATCCATCCTGCATCCTCTATCCACTCACATTTCCAGCCACTACTACATCTTTTTTGCTAATGCTGTGCTAGATTAAATCACACCACAGTGAAGTGCACAGTTTGTGTGTAGCAGGCAGGGAGTTACAGGTTGCCCACTCTCACTGACCCAGCCACCCAAGCAGCAGCAGTTTAGCGAGAAACCTTGGAACTTGCCACTACTTGTATCCGAGGCAGGGCGAGCAAGAACAAAACACATAAAAGCTGATTTAAAAAAAAAGAGACAGAGTAAGGGGTGAGGTGGATATGACCCAAACTATCAAAACTATCCATCAACTACTGACTCACTCAACCCACAGAGAACCTCACTCCACAGCTGGATAAGCTGCTGTTATTGCTTACTGGGATTTTTGGAGCTGCTTCCAAAACACCCAGTGCCAACTACTTTCAGGCACAGAACTGCAAATCAAATGGACTATCAATTTTTGCTTGCCCATGCAGCAACCGCTCTGCTCGTGATCCTTTCCTCTCAGACCTTTTCGTTTGCCTTTCCCGCTATTCCTATCCCCAGGCCAGCTAAGCCCCGGCTCTTCTATTGAGGAGAGCAGAGTGGAGGGGAAAGCCCCAACCCAACTGCTTCGGGCGCTCGGTGCTTTGGAAGAGCCGTACCTCTCCTCCCAGGAGGAACCTGGCAGGCTGCGGCCCTCCCCGGCCTTTTTCTCCTTCCACTTTGCTGCTGTCGTCTTCTTGCTCAGCAGGCTGCAGTCCCGCCCGGGCAGGCTGCTCAGGAGAGCGCCTGGAGGGCGAAGGTGCCAGCACGGTAGCCTCAACGCACAGGACAGAGCCACGGTGGGAAGGACGGGGACTGCACCCCTGCGAGCAGCACGGCCTCCCAGAAAGCCACACATCAGCTGCGCACCTGGAAACAGGTTGAGAAGAACGCCATACTCGTGGCCAGCTCCGCCCCAGAAAGTAAACCACGTAGCTTAGAAATACCCGCAGCTGGGCTGACCCAGCAGATGCATTTTCACTTTGCTCAGAGCTGCTGGATGGTGCCTGCGGCACAGCGAGTGCCCGTGCCCTGGGCCGGACACGAAGCGCAGAGGGAACGGGCAGCTGAAAGCAGAGCTGCCCTCCTC